CCCTTCATGGTGGCCTGGAACGTGCCGACCCAGGACTGCAAGCCGCGCTTCCAGGTGTCTCTCGACTTCAGCCTCTTCGACCTGTGCGCCTCCCCCAACGAGGGCTTCGTGGGGCAGAACCTCACCATCTTCTACAAGGAGCGCCTGGGGCTCTACCCTTACTACACCAGCCAGCGTGTGGCCGTCAACGGTGGGGTCCCCCAGAACAGCAGCCTGTCCGAGCACCTTGCCCGGCTCCAGGAGGACATCGGCAAGTACATCCGCTCGCCCACCAAGGAGGGGCTGGCTGTCATTGACTGGGAGGAGTGGCGGCCCATCTGGGCTCGCAACTGGAAGCCCAAGGACATCTACCGGGAGGTGTCCCAGGAGCTGGTGCAGCAGCGGAAGCACACCTGGTCCCACGAGGTGAACAAGCAGGCGGTGTTCGAGTTCGAGTCGGCTGCCCAGCAGTTCATGGTGCTCACCCTGCGCGTGGCCAAGAGCTTCCGCCCCAAGCAGCTCTGGGGGTACTACCTCTTCCCCGATTGCTACAACCACGACTACAGCAAGAACAAGGAGAGCTACACCGGGCAGTGCCCGGACGTGGAGAAGACACGCAATGACCAGCTGTCGTGGCTCTGGAAGGAGAGCACGGCCCTTTACCCTTCCATCTACCTCGATCCACTCCTGGCGTCCACCCCCAACAGCCGCAAGTTCGTGCGGGCACGAGTGATAGAGGCCATGCGCATCTCCCAGCAGCACCACGATGGCTACTCCCTACCTGTCTTTGTCTACACCCGGCCCACCTACGTCCGCAAGCTGGACTTGCTCAGCCAGGTAGGGCTGTGCCGCTGGGATATCCTTGTCCTGGAAGCTCCTGGCACTTGGGCTCTGGAGCGAACCAACGTGCTCCCTCTGCTTTTATCCCATCCCAGTCCACAGAGTGGGATGGTTCTGGAGGCTACTGGCCACTCTTATGGTGTCACTGGCACCCTGCGGTTTGGCTGTCTGTATGTGTGTGGGAAGCAGTATTGTTTTGCACAGGGCTGGCCCTGGGAGCCAGAAGTGTCTGGCTCTGCCTCCATTGCAGGGTAGGGGGTCATGGATCCCCAGCTCCACCCCTCTGTGGGTGGATGATGAGGTCCCACAAACTGCTTCTGCACCCCCTCTCCCCCTTATGGACATGGTGTCTGGCAGCAAGACTGGCACCAATGGTCACCATCACCAGGGAAGTGCCTGGGAGGTGCTGCAGGACTTCTGGCTCCTGGCAGCTGGGACCTTGAGGTGTGTGAGCCCACAGCTCCCATGCTGTGCTGGTTTAGCCCCCAAGAAAGCCTTGTCCCCAAGGAGCTAGGACAGTCTCCTCCCTGTGGCCTGGAGCAGGGATGGGTTTTGCTTTTCTGACCCCACAGGGAACTCCTTGGGGTGCACTGTGCTGGGTGTGTAGGTGCTGTGTGGGGTCTGTTTGCACTAACTTGGCTTTGCCCCTGCAGCTGGACCTGATCTCCACCATTGGAGAGAGTGCAGCACTGGGTGCAGCAGGGGCCATCTTCTGGGGTGACGCAGACAACACTAAAAACCGGGTAGGTTTGGGGTCAGAGGGTCCCCTGGGGAGGTGGGTGATGGGTGGGGGGGTCATCTGCTCCCAAAAGGTAGAGCAGTAGCTCAAGGCTGGGTTATTTTCTCTATCTGGGGTGGTTGTCTCCCTGGGGCACCCCAACACCCCGATGCTCCCCTTTCCCCAGGACTCGTGCCAGGCCATCAAGAACTACCTGGAGGGGGACCTGGGCCGCTACATTGTGAACGTCACGACAGCAGCACAGCTCTGCAGCACCACGCTGTGCCAGGGCCGGGGCCGCTGCCTGCGCCAGAACGGCAATGCCGACGTCTTCCTTCACCTCAACTCCAGCAGCTTCCAGCTGCGGCGCCGGGACAAGGACCACTCCCAGCGCCCCCTCTACTGGGCCGAGGGCAAGCTGTCCCCTGCTGACACCCTTTTCCTACGGACCCACTTCCGCTGCCACTGTTACCAGGGCTGGCAGGGCAGCAGCCGCCGGGGGGCCGCCCATGGCCGGT